TTGTATTAATGTGCATAAAGAAGCCAAGGAAAGATGGAAAAATCTCCAAAAGGCATCAAATTTCAGATTAGACATTCTTATAATATGTCAACAAAAGTTAGATTTTATTTCCATCATTTACACTTTCAAAATAACAGAAAACAAAAAAAAATGGCGTCTGCAAATGTTTGGGCACCCTGTAGAATTTATAGCATGCACTGCCCCCTTTGCAAAGCTGAGAAGGCTATAAGAAGATAGCAAAGCGTTTTCAGATGTCAATATCCTCTGTTCGGAATGTAATTAAGAAATGGCAGTCATCAGGAACAGTGGAAGTTAAAGCAAGATCTGGAAGACCAAGAAAAATATCAGACAGAACAGCTCGCAGGATTGTGAGAAAAACAATTCAAAACCCACGTTTGACTGCACGATCCCTCCAGAAAGACCTGGCAGACACTGGAGTTGTGGTACACTATTCCACTATAAAGAGATACTTATACAAATATGGTCTTCATGGAAGAGTCATCAGAAGAAAACCTCTTCTATGTCCTCACCACAAAAATCATCGTTTGAACTTTGCAAATGAACATATAGACAAGCCTGATGCATTTTGGAAACAAATTCTGTGGACCGATGAGGTTAAAATTGAACTTTTTGGCCGGAATGAGCAAAGGTACGTTTGGAGAAGAAGGGGCACAGAATTTAATGAAAAGAAAGTCTGTCCAACTGTTAAGCATGGGGTTGGATCAATCATGCTTTGGGGTTGTGTTGCAGCCAGTGGCACAAGGAACATCTCACAAGTAGAAGGAAAAATGGATTCAATAAAATTTCAGCAAATTTTGGATGGTAACTTGATGCCATCTGTGAAAAAGCTGAAGTTAAAGAGAGGATGGCTTCTACAAATGGATAATGATCCTAAACACACCTCGAAATCCACGGGGGATTACATCAAGAGGCGTAAATTGAAGGTTTTGCCATGGCCTTCACAATCTCCTGACCTCAACATAATTGAAAATCTATGGATAGACCTTAAAAGAGCAGTGCGTGACAGACAGCCCAGAAATCTCAAAGAACTGGAAGACTTTTGTGAGGAAGAATGGGCAAAGATACCTCAAACAAAGATTTCAAAGACTCTTGGCTGGCTACAAAAAGCGTTTACAAGCTGTGATACTTGCCAAAGGGGGCAGTACAAGATATTAACTCTGCAGGGTGCCCAAACTTTTACAGACGCCATTTTTTTGTTTTCTGTTATTTTGAAAGTGTAAATGATGGAAATAAAATCTAACTTTTGTTGACATATTATAAGAATGTCTAATATGTAATTTGATGCCTTTTGGAGATTTTTCCATCTTTCCTTGGCTTCTTTATGCACATTAATACAAATTTTTAGCTGGGGTGCCCAAACTTTCGATCCCCACTGTATGACATTCTGCTATTGCTGTTTTTTGTTATCTAGCGGTAAGGTTTTCCCTGCTGACCAAATGTGGTCTCAAGTGTGCGACCAGCTTTTCTTCCCCTATAGTACATTGTAGACCATTTTGAAGGTCAGGGTCACATGTTATAATTTATGCTGGACTGGAAATGTTATTTGTAAATGTCTGTCAATAGAGCTTTTCTTCAAAATCCCATACTAAGTAACCACTTGTGTTAATTACTTGTGTATGTCAATATATTTGGTGGGATTTAAAAATAAAGCCTAGTGGGTCTGTAATTACAAATGTGGTGTTGATTTTCCAAAAGCTTCACTTCGTTGTATGTGATCTGGAAATGTTTTAGTCATGGTTGGCTTTACTGTTTTATAGATGTTGGCAAGCATACTCTTTATTTATATAGTGCTCTTTTTCTGTGCATTAATTTTCATGACTTGAAGTAGATTATATATAAACCTCAGTTTGTATTGCATGCTGAATTACAGCTAGCCAGGGGATACCGTGAGAGACACTCACTTGGAGGGTGATATCATAGCAAGCTGTTTAGTGTTTCTTAGTGGTGCTGTGTTATGTTACATCTTTCTTCCCCTCTCACATCAGGGAAGCTGAAGTTAATCATGCACACTATTTGCTAGCAAAGAAAAGATTAGATATGTAATGACGTGCCCTCATGTATTTGTTGTGTAGCCAGGGAAATGTCAATTGAAAGCATGCATGCAGAAATGGTGCAGAAGATAAACAAATGATATTCATTTGCTCATAACACCTTGCCAAAAGGGTATCTATAGTAAGACATATGGCATATCAACAGTGAATTAAGTTCTTCACCATGTACAAAGAAGACAGAAGAGAAAAGTGTTGATTTTTTTTTCTTTGATACATATTTATATAATTAGTTTCAGTTCATATGTACAGTATGTATGTGTCTATATATTTCAATGACTATTTTGTTTGTGTTTAAATCTGAATTCTGGAATTCAGGAACTTTGTATTAAGTGAAGGTACTCTATGAGTTAAAGTGTTACTAAACCCAGGACCCTGTATTCACTATATCTGGTCTCCCAATACACACAACATGGAAATGCAATTATTTTAGTAAATATAAACTGCTAAATACCTTTTCTCATCAGCTGTTAGAGCAGTCTTGTGACTTCAGGAGAGCACGGGTTAAAGCTTGTAGGAGGAGTTTTCTTTCTTCCTGCTCTAGGAGGATGTGAAACCCCTGTCCTCTGTCTTGACAGTGCTGATTGTGCAGATCACATGCACCCTACAGAGAAAAAAAAATCTTTCTAGCAATACACACCAGACTGAGCATGTGCATGTGACCAAGGATTCAGCCTGTATCAGGTGGACATTTCAACAAGAGGAGGGGCAGAGAAGAAAGGATCAAACAGCCTTTTGACACAATGCAGAGGATTAACCCCTTAGGTTCCACAGTGAGTATAACAAGCATGCTTTACTGCATATACAGACTGATTTTACTGTTGTGGGTTTAGTAACACTTTAAGAGCATGTATGTGTGTTTGCTTATGATTTCATTTCTTTTCATTTGTTTGTGATTTAATTTGCATATTCCCCCTCCCTCACAGCATCACAAAATGTTTTCACACTTCTAAGATGTGCCAGTTAGCAGCTTAAAAATGCTGTCTAATTTAACATATTATAAAAGTAGGTCAATGCCAATGTGCAAAATCCTAAGTTTTTGAAAGTTTAGTTTTTTTGTGTTTTTTGATAAATAACTGAAAAGAGTCTTGGGAAATTATTATATTTTGAATATCACTCTGCCCATGTGCACCTTTCCATATAGTTTCATAATTTACCAGCTGCCTCGAGCAACTGGGGTATCACATAATCATAAGTAAGCACAGCTGTTATGAGTGGGTTTCATTCATAACAGCTGTGCTTGTGTGATTGGCCCACAGCTCTCACATGGTACCAGAGTCAAACATAGCACCCTGTACCATGTGATAGTTGTGGGCCAATCACAGCTCACAATAGTAATCACAACTGTTATGAATAAAACCCATTCATGACAGTTCAAACATTGCTGGTACAGTGATCATCACTGTAACAGCAATCAAAGTGTAAAAAATAAGTCCCTGACCCCCCCCCCCCCCAAAGTAGTTACAGTGAGACACAGAACTACTCTGATGACAGGATGTACAAAAATTTTAAACTAGAAAAAAAAATGTAAAAAATAAAAGTTGAAAAAAGTTTAAAACATTAATAACATTTACATTTTTTTTAACATACTGTCACCATCATGGCTACACCATTCATATAAACACATTGTACTGCACTGGTGACAGTACGTAAAAAAAAAAAAGTGAAAAATACAAATTTTATCCCAACTATCAGCTGAAAAACGGGTCATAGGAGTGAAGACCTAACTGCACTCCTGTGATCCATAGGAGCATTATAGCCAAAATAGCTTTGGCTATACTTCTTCTTTAAGGTAAAAAAACTTCTGTGACCTGCTCTCCCCCCCAGCTCTCCCTCAGACTGATCATTTGGAAACTCGGTCACTGCCCGAGGGCCCGGGGTCAGTAGGGGGCCCCATGAGATGCCCTGGTACCTTTTTCATTGGCTTTTTTGAGTTTGGGCAAGGTCACAGGGGCCCCATGATCCCCTATTGCCTGGGGGCCCCATGAGTTGTCAGTCTGCCCCTGCTCTCCCTTATACTGACCTGAGCATGATCTCAATCCGGCACTGTGCCCAAGAGCAGTGGTTCTCTCCACTCTCGCTATCCTCATTAGAGATCGAGGCAGCAGCAGGAGCCATTGGCACCTGCTGCTTTTAACCACTTCAAGTCCGGACACTTTTACCCCCTTCCAGTCCAGGCCAATTTTCAGCTTTCAGTGCTAGTACACTTTGAATGACAATTGCGCGGTCATGCAACACTGTACCCATATTAGTTTTTTTAGCATTTTTTTGAGACAAATAAAACTTTATTTTGGTGGTATTTATTCACCACTGGGATTTTAATTTTTTTGCTATATAAATGAAAGTCCAAAAATGTTGAAAAAAAGTGTTTTCCGTACACAATTTGGAAAATACATAATCTTTCTTCATAAATCTTGGCCAAAATGTATTCAGTTATCTTTTTAGTAAAACAAAATAACCCAAATTAGTTTCTAACCAAAAATTATAATTTTTCAAACATTTTTGTTACATTTTAATTTATTTAATATTATTTATTTATTTATTTATATATATTTTTTACATACTGTCACCCTAGCAGTACAGTGTCACCATAGTGACACTGTACTACTTGTGTGGGGTGATGAAGTTTTTTTTTTTTTTTTTTTTTTACAGTGATTGCTTTTACACCCATAAAGGCTGTACAAGCAATCATTTCTCCTTCTCTCTGGCTGCATTCTTGCAGCCATTGAGAAATACTGTGTGAGCTGTGATTGGTCACAGCTTGTCACATGGTACAAGGCTGTTGTGAATAGCCTTGTACCATGTGATATCTGTGATCATTCACAGATTTCACTAGTAGTAAGCAATGATGTCAGAAGTGACCTCTTGCTTACTACTATTCATGTGATCACTGATTGGCTAATCAGTGATCACATGATTGGGACCTCACACAGAGGACACAGCGAGCACCAGATTATGGTGCTGTGAGCTTCCAGGGAGCACAAGCAGGGAAGTGGGAGGACATTTATAAATGGCCACCCGCCCCTGCACTGCTCCCATCTGGCCGTTTATATACATGGGCCGAAGGGGAAGTGGCTAATCACAGCCATTGAGGAGAGAGTGAGCCCACACGAATGTGTGGGTCAATGGACACACATATAGTGTGGCTTGAGAGTGAGTCCACACAAGTGCCCCATAGCAAGCTGCTTTATTATGGAGGCACTCAGAAGGGAGGAGAGGCTAGAAGCACCAGCTGGGGACCCCAGAAGAGGTGGATTGGGATGCTCTGTGCAAAACCATTGCACAGAGCAGGTAGGCATGACATGTTTGTTATTTAAAAAAAAACTTCCTTTAGAATCACTTTAATTGGTTATTAAACAAATATATTCCTCCCCTGGTGAATTTCTTAAAGGGTCCTTAGGACCCCTAAAACGTCATCACAACCTTATTGAAAAGAATAGCGCCATTCCCCAGCTCCATTCCAGTTTTTATAAATTTGAAAATCATCCGTTGTAGTGGGAGCAGCCCTACTGCAAGGGATCATTTTTATGTTTCCTGGGGTTGAGCTTTACACTGATAGATTTCTGAACATTCATACAAGAGTTCTCAACAGTACATTTGGTGACTTGATGAGTGTCGTTCCAAAGTACACATTCACCATTAAAAATGATTTCATTTTGTGCTCTTCTGAATTCTCTCAACACTGTAGACGAAAATTAAATAGATTTGACTGAACTAATGATTCAGTAATCAAATGAATGTTCCTGAAACAAAATTCTTCCAGTGTATGACCAGCTTTACGGTCTCTGTCAGGAATTCAGAGAGCCCCTATGGATGCTGGAGTAAACATAATGAATGAGAGTCTCAGCCGGTACATTATAAAGCAGGCATTCCTCTCCAACTGTCTCTCACAATTAGGAAATACTGTTTTCACTAGAATTCCTGTTTTTATTTATCAGCATTATGATGAGTGACATGCAGCATGGGATGCACACCTTGCTATGCAATAAAGGGCAAATTCACAAAATTCACTATAAAACCAAAAAAAGAGCATCTTTTCAGTGGGACATTGCACATCACCAGGGGCGGACTGACCATATGGAAACTTGGGCACTGCCCGAGGGCCCGGGGTCAGTAGGGGGCCCCATGAGATGCCCCTGGTACCTTTTTCATAGGCTTTTTTGAGTTTGGGCAAGGACACAGGGGCTCCATGATCCCCTATTGCCCAGGGGCCCCATGAGTTGTCAGTCCGCCCCTGCACATGACTGGACTGTGCTAATATATTTTCAGCCACAGCAGCCCTGCAAGGGAACAGTTATGCAGCTTTCTTGGGGTATTTTATGTTGTACATAAGGTTTTTTCTTCCATGGCTTATTCAGGCCAGGGGTCTCCAAACTGCAGCCCATGGGCCAGATGTGGCCCTTTGCTTGCTTTTATCTGGCCCTTGGGGCACACCACTGATACGAGGCACTATCCCTTCCACTGACACCAACAATGGGGCACTATCAGGGGCGGACTGACAACTCATGGGGCCCCCGGGCAATAGGGGATCATGGGGCCCCTGTGTCCTTTCCCACACTCAAAAAAGCCTATAAAAAAGGCAGTGCCCGAGTGATCGAATGGTCAGTCCACCCCTGGCACAATTCCTCCTACTGACATCAATGATAGGGCACTATTCCTCCCACTGACACCAATCATTGGGGCACTATTCCACCCACTGACACCAACGATGGGGAACTATTTCTCCCACTGACACCCACGATGAGACACTATTCCTCCCACTGACACTGATGATTGGGCACTATTCCTCCCACTGACACCAACAATGGCACAACATTCCTCCCACTGACACCAATGATGGGGCACCATTCCTCCCACTAACACCAATGATGGGACACTATTCCTCCCACTGGCACCAATTATGTAATTTTTTTTTTACCCCCATTTAGTAAACCAAACCCATGGAGTTTGCTTTTATCTGGCCCTTGGGGCACTCCATTAATATGAGGCACTATCCCTTCCACTGACACCAAAGACAGGGCATTATTCCTCCCACTGGCACCAACAATGGGGCACCATTCCTCCCACTGACATCATTTATGGGGTACCATTCCTCCCACTGACACCAACAATGGGGCACTATTTCTCCCACTGACACCAACAATGGGACACTATTCTTCCCACTGACACTAACAATGGGTCACTATTCCTCCCACTGACATCATTTATGGGGTACATTCATCCCACTGACTCCAACAATGGGACATTATTTCTCCCACTTACACCAATGATGGGGCATTATTTCTCCCACTGACATCATTTATGGGGTACCATTCCTCCCACTGACACCAACAATGGGGCACTATTTCTCCCACTGACACCAATGATGGGACACTATTCTTCCCACTGACACCAACAATGGGGCACTATTCCTCCCACAAACATCATTTATGGGGTACCATTCCTCCCACTGACACCAATAATGGGGTAATATTTCTCCCACTGACACCAACAATGGGGCACTATTCTTCCCACTGAAAAGAATAGTGCCCAATGATTGGGCACTCTTCCTCCCACTGACACCAACAATGGGGCACTAGTCCTCCAACTGACAGCAATAATGGGACACTATTCCTCCCACTGACACCAACAATGGGGCACTAGTCCTCCTACTGACACCAATGATGGGACACTATTCCTCTCACTGACACCAATGATGGGGCACTAGTCCTCCTACTGACACCAATGATGGGACACTATTCCTCCCACTGACACCAATTATGTAAAACATTTTTTACCCCCATTTAGTAAACCAAGCCCATGGCATTTTCTACTCCTACTGGCCATAGTCTGGCCCCCCCTAAAGATTGAAGGGCAGTAAATTGACCCTTTGTTTCAAAAGTTTGGAGAGCCCTGATTTAGGCGATTTTATATTCCAGCTACAGGCCTTCACTTATCAGGTTATCATCATCAGCGTAAGCTGCCACCGCAATAACTTGTGAGTGCATTGCATAGATGAACTATGAGCTGATAGAGGAGAGTTTAGCACACCAAAACATCAGCATACTTAATATTGCACATAAAGTACACAGTACGTAAAGTAAGCAGAATGATTCTCTTGGCACAGGCTTGTTAAATATGTCCATTACTAGTTTGCTTGAGAAGGCAAAGAGAAGAGTGAAAAGTGCAGTATCCATAGCAACCAGACAATATTCATCTTTCATTGTTCCAACTGATGAAAGCTAACATTTGCTAGGTTCTCCAGAGGAAAGGAGAACCAATGATTATAAAATCTGTGCTGGCCCTAAACAGGCTGGGCTGTAACTACTGAAATATTCACTATACAGGTCATTTTTTAAAATAATCCTTAAAATATACCTAAAACCCAAAAAATAGTTTTTCATTTGGCTAGAATAGGGAATGGCTAAAACCCCTGTCATCTGTGTCCATTGGGGAGATTTACCTTCACTTCCTGTCGGGTAGACATAACATGAAGTGATAGGAAATATCTCCATAGTGAGGTACAGTAAATGGCCTCTGAGGCTCCATGCTCCTCTTCACGCCGACGGTACGCAAATATGCGACCTCTCAGCAGCTGGGCCTTGATGCTAAGCATCCGCATATTTGCGTACCATTTGCAAATAAACATGTGCTGAGAGCATGCGCTCTGCAGACTCCCAGCACATGTATCGCTGTCCCACAGAAAGGTCCCGATCTCTTCTTGCGATAGGGACTTTTCCAATCATGTGATAGCCAATCATGGCGATCACATGACCCTAAACCCTGCCCTGCCTCCTGGAGTCAGAAACCCCTTAAAGGGCCGGGAGGTGCCAGTGTGAAGGGGTTTAAGCTCCTAGAATCTGTTATTAGCATTTTTTTTCTGCTCCTAGAAGCTAAATTGTGTTATCTCATGTGTCCATGCACACTACTTTAGGCCAGCCTTTGTCAACCAGGGTGCCCTGGGGTGCCTTGAGGTTTTTCCAGGGGTGCCTTGGCAAAATTTCTAAAAATTGCCCAAAACTTGTATACAAGCCAGCTGGTGAAACAAGCCTGCCTTTTAGTTACACAAAGCCACAGGTTTTCATTGTGCGCCATTATGACCTTCTAGCCACCGGCGTCCTGACAATCATCAATGACATCATCGGTTGATAAGAAGGATGTCAGCTGCCTACACAGCATCTTAGTTTGACCCTCCCCTGCCCCTCTCCGTCAGTTCTGGGGGTCACATTAGCTCAGTGATGGAATAAAAACTGAGAGAGAAGAGAAACATTGGAATACTAGTCAGTACCAGTGTGCAAAAGTGATTTGCTTTGGAAGAATAAATCACCTCTAATGTTAGGTGTCCTACATGTGTGGATGTTGCTGTTAGAATTGTTTTTTTTTTACATTTTAGAATGGGGTGCCCTTTTAAAATTATGGACAGTCTTGAGGCACCCCATTTTAGAATGGGGTGCCTTGGGACTGTCCATAATTTTAAAGGGTGCCCTTGGGACTGTCCATAATTTTAAAGGGTGCCTTGGGACTGTCCATAATTTTAATGGGTGTCTTGGAACTGTCCATAATTTTAAAGGGTGCCTTGGGACTGTCCATAATGGAACTGTCCATAATTTTAATGCCTTGGGACTGTCCATAATTTTAAAGGGTGCCTTGGGACTGTCCATAATTTTAAAGGGTGCCTCGGGACTGTCCATAATTTTAAAGGGTGCCTTGGGACTGTCCATAATTTTAAAGGGTGCCTTGGGACTGACCATAATTTTAAAGGGTGCCTTGGGACTGTCCATAATTTTAAAGGGTGCCTTGGGACTGTCCATAATTTTAAAGGGTGCCTTGGGACTGTCCATAATTTTAATGGATGTCTTGGAACTGTCCATAATTTTAAAGGGTGCCTTGAGACTGTCCATAATTTTAAAGGTGATTTGACTGACGGAAGGCTGAGAAACACTGCTCTAGGCTATTAGCATTTTTTTGAGATTCAGCTTCTAGGAGCAGAAAAAAAACACATTTTTGGAGTGTTTTTTCCAGCAGAAAAAAACCTTGATTGTTCCTAAGGCTCCATGTACATGGTGCATTTGGGAACTCTTTTGAACACTGGAATTTGACAGCAGGAAAATGCAGGTTAAAAATGTCAGTTTTGCCATGTTTGCATACTGTGTTTATGCGCGTTTAGCTGCGTTTATGAGCGTTTGCGTTCAGAAGCGTTTTTTAAACATAAGCACAGGAGCACCTCCCAAATGCCCAGAATGCACTGGAAAATGGTAAATTATTAACTGTTTCAGACTGTTTGAGAGAAATAGAGAGAGTAGAAGCAGAGAGAGAGCAGTATTTGTTGAGACTAGCTGTCTTTTTTTTTTTCTGTGGTGTTTGGATGTGTTCCAGCTCATTTCTGTGCAGACATTATTGCAGCAGTGTCTAACATATTTTCTTTCATGTGAAGCCTCAAATTATGGTGTACCAGGTCCATTTGAGTACCAGGAAAACGCTCTGCGTGCATTTTTCATGATGAAAAAAGGCTCTGGACAGCATCTGGAAATGGAAGAGTTAAAAACAATTTCCAAATGCAAACGTTTATAAACAGTTAGTCACGTTTACACACGTTTTACAAGCTTTTGGCGTTTGAAACGCTGATAAAATCTACTACTGAACGCAAGTTTGGTGCGTTCAAAAAAACAACTGTAAACTCGACTGCTTGTAAATGACATAGTGTACATGGACACATAGGAACACAATAGGGAGAGTTCAAGGGCTGATGAAAAAAAATGCAGAAAAGCTCCTAAACGTGAGTTTATCAGCTGCAGTGTACATGGAGCCTAAATTAGCATTTTTAAAATGCTCCTAACATGCTCCTAACAGATTTTTTACAGCTTTTTTTCACATACTGTAAAAACTCTATAAAATGCCAATGCTCCTAAATGCTACTAAAATGTTCCTATAAGCTGGGTCGAAAACGCTATTATCAGTGTTTTTTTATCCAGTGTTTTTTTCTAGCATTTTTTACCTTATAACGCTAAGATTGTTAACTTAACAAGCATCTCCATTTGGAATATTGATTCCCATTCTGGTGACAACTGACAAAAAGTGAATCTTTCCAAAGCAGTCAAAGAAAGTTGTAAAAACCTGGCAGAGCCTCCAGCACCTTGCCACACTATACATAGCTAAATCCAAAACAAAACGTTTTGGCTTTAAATACACGCAAAAGCATCTTGGGTTATTATTCATTCACTACTACTCCATCAGTTTTCTTACAATATAATTGCAATTTATTATTTCTTTACACAATGTAATATAAGTGCCTGATAACAGCTGTGATTATATAACAAGTGTGGGCAGCTTTATCTTTATTTAGCCTTTGTTAAACATTTGTTAAGCAATCTGTTACCTTAAATTCATTCCACCCACTTCAATTCAGTTTTTGGTGTATAGCAACTGGGTGAACCACCCAAAGGTCTTTCAAAGGTTTGAGGTTGGTTACTAGAATATTTTACCTGCTCTCTCCCAGATAAGAGAACACACTATAATCACCATTAGTTATTTGTCTTGGAAATGGCTACATACTCTGTATTTGAACAAAAGGACAAACTTTTTGAAACCTGTTCAACCATTACTCCTCAAGAATTTATTAAATCAGCCATTTACTTAAAGCAGTATTAAAACCAAAAACAAAAAAAAGTATTATATTGCAGCTTACCATTTCTTCGATGTGATGGCTGCAATACT